ACATACGACTAATTTGTAAACATTTTGTTGTTTCAGTAGATTTGTTGGAAATCAAATAAATTAATTATGCAAATTTTTTTAAAAACTTGTAAAATGAACGACGGCAACGTTTGGCAAACGTTGCCGTATTGCTGTATACAATGTCCAAACGTTGCGGTAGAGGTCTACCACAACGTTTGCCGCAAACGTTGCGGTATAGGGATACCGGCAACGTTTCCCAAACATTGCGGTAGAGGTCTACCACAACATTTGGGGTAGAAGGATACCGTGCGGTAGACCTCTACCGCAACGTTTGGCAAACGTTGCCGTATCCCTCTCACTCTACGACAACACCTGGATTTGCACCACACGTCCAAACATTGTCGTAGGTCTACGGCAACATTTTTTGAACGTTACCGTATGCTGTTTTTGTTGTAGTGAAACCGCGGGATGTGCCACAAACTGGCCAGGGTCCAAGAGCCCCTCCATTGATGTGCCAAAGTGTGGAGCGAGTCAACACATGTTGCACCTTACCTTCTAGGAGAACTCATACCTTCCAGAATAAATCCTACATTCCAGGAGAGAGCCTGCCTTCCAAGAGCCCCACGAATCGAACTCACGACCTCTGAACTGTCAGCGACTAGGAGCCTGTTCTTTGCCGGTTGAGATGTGCCCCGAGGGCTGCAACTGTACAGTATTTGATTGGTGCTTTGCTTGTGCATCCAGTAATGCAATCATAATCTCACACAAAACACAAATCAATATAAAGGGTAAAAATGTATTTGAATCTTTTCATCAGCTTTTGCAACAAGCTTCATTTCATTTATTTATATTCTTCAATAATCAAAACCCTATTCCTCAAAAAAATTTGTAATCTATGTTCTCCCTGCTGATTAAGGTGAGTCTTGAATTCCCTATTATTATTATTATTATTATTATTATTATTATTGAAGTTTTTCTAAATTTTGCTTGTATTTTAAGTGGTTTTTATAGTTATGATTTTTTTTCTTTTTAGTGTACATAATTTTTAATTTTTTTCCCTGTAGTCTTTTGGATTATAGTACTGGCGATCGGTTTCATCGCGCAGTAATTTTACCATGTATTCTAACTTGCGTTTAACGTTCCCAAAAGCTGGTATAATTGTACCTTGTTACGTGATGGGAGACAATTTTACAAGAAAAGAAAACGCTTCTGGAAGAAATTTTCATTTAGTTACAATTTTTTTTAGATAAGTAGAAAAAAGTATTAAAATTTTATTAAGTGATAATCTTCAGAATCTATTTATCTATATATGATTTGTTGCTTATTGCTTTCAGTACTAAGCAAAATTCATGTTTAAGACCGGAACGAATTTATTCTAATTGGTATTGAAAGTGTAAGGGTCTAGATTTCATCTCCATGATCCTTGCATTAGAGTGCACAGTTATGCCTATTCCTATATTTTGGATGCTTCGAGGAATTCCTACGGATTGGATCAAAAACAATTCTTGAATGAGGCAAGGGATGAATCGAAGGGATGAATCGAATGACTGGATCTTGAATTAGATTGGAGAGGGTATCTGATTCAATTAATAGTTGTGGGCGTGGGGCTTCTTGATTGGTGCTGGAATACTTATGAATGATTATAATTATTAAGAAACAAAAGTTATGGATTTCATAAAGCAATGAGAAAATGCAATCTAAAGTATTAGAATGGATATCCATGAATAAAACCCTGTTATTCTTTCACGCCAAGTAAACAAAAAAGAATACATTGTAAGCAGAAAAAGAATGCATTGAACGACCAAAAAAAACAAAATAAAAATTTGTGAGTTCTTGAAGGTAATTTGATCTCTTTGATGAGATGTGGATGTCATCAACATTTTTTAAATCTCTGAACTATGGTCAAGGTAGTTTTTAATGTATGTTTATGTGGATTGTAGGGGTAAAGTGTTAATGTTTTGACGCAGGATTCACTTCAAGGGGGTTCAATGTAATTACTCCTTTTCTTTTCAGTGAGAAAAATATGAAGTACTGGAATAACAGTCCTTTGATAGAGGGCTGTGGGGAAAAGATTATGCAAATTAGCACCCTAAAGATGTATCGCTTGGACTAGATGATGTAGCTTTTTACTTTTTGTGATGGGAATTAAACTATAGATAAGGTTATAAGAATAAATATGTTATTGTATGTGATATTGTATAGTTTTCGTTTCGTGATTCTTGTTTTCAGAATGGTTTAATTGGTTTTTTGATAAATCAACTCTTGTGAAAAATTTTAGTTGTTTTCATCCATTGATCAAAGATTTCCCTGTTTGCCGTCTTTGTTCTTTCTTTACTTGGTGATCTTCACGAATTATGTTGAAGGTTTTTTCTGTTTCTAACTCATCAAATTGGCATCGATAATGAAGTTTTTCAATCACCGGAATCGGTCTTAGATTACTGTAAAAATTGTTTCCCGAACTCGCTCCATATGTCTGCACCATTTGATTTGTTAGTTCACTTTCCTGCCTTGGACAGCTTCACAATCATTTCAAGACAGGCGCTTTCTTATGCCAAATCTTGAAGAAAATCAGGAGCATGGGTGGATAGAAAAAGTGAAATCAGAAGGTTCTGTTCCACTGCTTGAGCCAGACCACTGGCCAAATGGTTGGGCTTCTTCTGGAGATGTTTTCAAGGTTAGAGGGCCTGAATATTTAAAGACAAAAGGCTAAGATCCCTGGTGGTGATTATCTTCTCAAGCCTCTTGGGTTTGACTGGATAAAAGGACCAATGAAGATTTCAGAGCTCTTGAATTATACAAAAAACCGTGTTAGGAGAGCTCTTGATGATGAAATTTCAAAGGATCGTAAAAAGCCTTTCGTTTGGGCTTTCAATTGCAAGTCCCAAGTAAGGAAAACTACAGTACTATTGTATATTTTGTGGGTATGGAACCAATCCCCGAGGGCTCTCTGATGGATCGGTTCCTAAAAGGGATGATGGATTCAGGAATTCAAGATTAAAATTGATAGCCAATATTGTCAAAGGCCCATGGATTGTGAGAAAAGCAGTTGGAGAGCAGGCTATCTGCATTATTGGTCGATCGGTTACTTGCAAGTATTATTTAGGAGAAAACTTTATTGAAGTTGATATAGATATTGGTTCTTCAGTGGTTGCAAATGCGATTGTTCATCTAGCATTTGGTTACATAACTACACTTACTGTTGACTTAGCTTTTCTCATGGAGGGTCAAACTGAATCAGAGCTTCCAGAAAGAATCTTAGGAGCTGTTAGATTTTCTGAGCTCAATACTGCTTCAGCAAGGCAAGTTGAACTGCATTCTGAAAAGAGCATGGAATTTTTGCGGTTGTCTCTTCAAACGAGATTTTGGAAATCACTTGGTCAGGGCTTCTCCCAACTTATTAAGCCAGGTGGTCAAGAAAGTGAGTCCAACTCCCATACGGCACATGTCAATGGGGATGTTGATCACAAAAGTAATGATGCAGATGTTGACAAGTTATAGGTTTTGATTTTTGGACACTCAATTAAATTCCCAATGAAAAAGTAGCATTATATTAGCTAGCATACTCCTAGAGTGTATTAAGTTACTACTAGACTTTAGAAATTTGCCTCCAGCTTGGAGAAATTACTGCATTTCTGTTTTTAAGTATGATATCATTGCTAGTAGCTGGGAAATGTAGCTGATATTGACCCACACCAACAAATAAATCTTATTTTAAGGGGCTGTTTGATGCACATTATTCTCCTAGGAATGCATTTTAAATAGTGATTTGATGGAAAGTATGTGGTTAAAAAATAAGGAAAAGTTTTGGATTTGCGTGTAATATTATTTTATTGAAGAATGTGTGGTTGATAATAAGAGAGAAAAATGTATTTTTGGAAGAATGGGTATCAAACATGGTGTAAATAAGTTTGGGATCAGATACTAGAAACGTAAGATACCATTGAATCAAATCCTTAGCAAACCCATTTGGCCAAGTTGATTCTCTCTCTCTCTCTCTCTCTGCTTCTATTGGAATCACAATACTCTTGTAGCAAGGAGCTTCTTTAGATCTACTGTCTTCACAAGAGATTTCTCAACTACTGTAGTCGACCTTCTCTCAATTTATCCTGCGTTGGTGTCATGTCCACTAGTTAGTATATATTCATTTCATATGTTGTCCATTCTAGTAAACACACACCTTCTAGTGTGTAAATTATCAATAACTGCAATTTGAGCAAGTTTTCATACTCTGCCAGGTACTTGTGTGAAATTGTTATGCATGCTTTCATATTTATACGAGCTGACTTTGACTTTCAACTGTTAGAAAATTATCTTTTTCAGTTTGTATGTAATATTATTCTCATATGATTTAAAATTCAATATGCTTCTTGGATGATCTAAATTTGGATATGCATGTTCCAATCAACTTTGCTTATTACTTGATTGTTTTCGATTTGGCGTTTCTTTTGGAATGTTTTCTGATAACCTGAAGTGTATTGATGATCACTATTACGTCAATTGTACAAATCATATCTGAACCAGATATGCCTTTTCTTTTCTTCATCCTCCTTTCAAGCATTTTGGGATTCTTTTCTCGTGCTATCATTTATGACTTTTGAATCTTTTGACTATCTTATTGTTTGTTTCTCAATGCCTTAGCTTCAAGAATTCCCCAACCTTCAAAAACATCAGCATCAATCGTTCAAACTTAACAACCACATCTTTGTCGATATATTAAGAACCTTGCTAATATTATGTTTCGACTTCCTTGTAAGTTCTTTTTCTTTAGTCAAATAATATCATCCTTTACCACTGTAAAATTATTGTGCCTAAACACTATACAAATCCACAAAGGGAAGATGCCAATGAATTGTCGTTTTAAGTACCTTGCTCTTGTAAGTTGCAATTCCTGGTATGAAATTTGACTCCGGTGGTCAGGCCGGCTGCCCTCTTTCAAAAGAAGTTATGGAACCCTACATTTAGTGCTTGTGATTTTTCGAAAAGTAATTTTTTGGAGGTTGTATGATTAAAAAGGGAAAGTTTATGGAAAACTTGATTTTTTTTTTTTGGGAGTGTGTGTTTTAAAATGAGAGTGGGACACAAGTGATTTTCAATTAATCACTTTCAAACAAGGGCTTAAATGGTCTCTCAGCCTTTGGGGGTGAAGCCCCGGTATAAGTATTTTTGACATACGAATCCTTTGGTTAATTACTTGATTGGGAGTAAATAATTTTGAACCCCCTTAGTGCATTTTCTTTTACACCAATAGAAGAGATTAATCAGTTTGTCACTTGTAGGTTGAGCCTTCAGCTTCCATTTCCCGAATTGCTAGTTGTACTTGCTTCATGTATTTATTGTGTGGTATAATAGCCCGCCTGGAGGCAGCAAGCACAGAGTCTTACGTCTTCACCATCATCCTTCAGTTTTTAAATTCTTTCGTGTAGACATCAATTGTAGTTCTAAACGTTTTGATGTTTATAGTTATGAATGACATTGCAATTGCAGCCTAAATGAATTCTGTAATATTTTTCCCCTTTCTAGTTTTCGTTTCCAGGTGTTGAAGCATGTAAAATGTAACTTAGGATTTTACAAGACTAGACAGTATTACGGACCAATTTTAGGTTCTTTTTCTTCCTATTACTATTCAATCTTCCTGACCATGTCATGTATGTACCTCTACTATGCCTTGGAAGATGCACGGGGCAAGTCAAGTGGGACTCCCTGATTTTCTTACTTGAGAAAGCAAATGCACAAGACTGAAGAACAATGCCATAAAAAAGATGTACAAACACACCCACCTGCCACCCTATAATATGTGATGAGTTATGCTTTGTGTATACGGGAAAGTTGTACATGATTTTTACAGCGAGGACATGTCATTTGGCGAAAAAAAAAAGAAGAAAAAATGCAATTATAGCAGCACCTGTAAGCCCTGTGCACAGTTCTCCCTTGTACAAGGGGAATAACTCACATATGACTCCATAACCAATTTCGATCGGAAATCAAAGATACAGAAGGCTGATGATCACACGTTGTTATATGGTTGAATGTTAAGCAAGAGAAAAAAATTATTCGGCCTTGGGTTCAAGTTGAAAAAATAGTCGGTAAAAGAGAGTGGTGAACATATTTAAAAAATCATCATTAAATAGATCATGAAGTGAATTTGTGGATTTTCAATTTAATGTTTTAAATTGACTTGGTTAAATATATTGTATGTATAAATAATTATATTATATTAAAATTAATAAAAAGTTATTCGGGACAAGTTTGGAATGGAGATCTCATACCCTGTTCCTGTCAGCTCCTTTTTCGTGATAGAATTTTCTGCTCCGCCTCTGTCCCACCAACCCGATTAAGAGTGAAATCCCAATTGAGGGCGGGTCTTGACAGGGATCAGGTGTGCACCAAGGCAAAGTACTCTTTTATATGTTTACTACGAAAACCTTTTGCTTTTCGAAGTGGAAAAATTTACCATTTATATTAAATTTGATATTGTTTGATGTGGCAGCTATCATGACCATTCATTTTAAACATGCTCCTTCAAATCACTGGCCAATTTTGTTACACATAGAGGAATGTTATTCATAATGCACAAGTTAATTTATTCTTATCCTTCTTAGAATAATGTTGTGTACATCATGCTTGATATCATTATTGTTGGCAAGATTTGATTGATGAAAAAACTGTTTTGAATTGTAAACTGGCCAATAATGTATTGTCACGGGGCACAATGTAAAAAATACCAATCATACTATATGTACATCATTCTTTACACCATCTTTTACACTTTGTCACGTAGCATTACACCATTGGACAATTTGAAATTTGAATAGTTTTTCATCCAATCATTTGTGGAAAACAACGATAATGTCAACCAAGGTGTAAAAAAAGAGTGTGCAAATGGCGTTATCCAAAAAATAATGTAAAGGACAATGTACACGTAGCATGATTGTCTTTCTTATGGCAATATCTATGGGTAGATATAGTTACAAAATGTGAAGTGGACAAAAAACAATACAAGGAGCCGATCCCAAATTTATCTCTCGTCACTTCTTTATACAATTAGTTAAAGAGTGATTCAATTGCTAATAGAA